TGTTAAAGTTATCCTACATAGCCGAATTAATTTTGCAGGAATGACAAACGCAGACATGGCTTTATACACCTCTGAACAGATAGGGCTGTCGAATGCAGCTTCATATCCGACGAATAGGTGGAATGTGTCGATGTATTTATCCTGGGTTTTTGGATTCGGCGCAGGGTGAAAATGGTGGATTTGCCAGGTCTGAAGCCGCATTGGTATGGTCCAATAATGTCATTCACACAGTAGTTCACACAGTACGCTGGATATCACTTTATATGCAATAGGAAGGAGACTTATTCCTCTATAATTGGCACATATCTTGTCTCCTTTTTCGTGCACGGGACATAGGATGCTGATGTTCCAATAATTGGGCATGCATTCTTCTAGCCAAATTGTACTAATCAGCTGGTGCATGCTCCTTACCAGCATCTGACCACCAGTCTGGAATAGTTCGGCTTGTAACCCATCGGCACCTGCTGCTTTGTTATTCTTCAGCCGATTGATTGCTATTCTGACTACATCTTGGCTAGGTGGCATACACTATATACCGTCATCTATTATTGGTTCTGGGGTATACACTTCACTGCTACTATTTGATACCAGAAGTTTTTCAAAATAGTCCTTCCAGATCCTCAGCACGCTGTCTATATCTGTCACCAGGTTTCCTTCTTTATCTCTACAGGTGGATGTGCCTGCACCAAAACCTTCGGTTTGGTGTTTTACCCGTTGGCAGAATTTTCGGACTTCATTCTGACTCCTGTACATCTCGATTTGCTCACTCTCACGTTTTTCTCGTTCTTTCTTCTTTTTGCTGAAAATAGGTTTCTCCTCTCTCCTTTTCTCCCGATAGTTCTCCATCGCATCGTCACGTCATTCGAATATTGCGCCGTATACGCTCTCTTCAAGTGGAGGAGGAACCACCACAATTCACGTTGGAGGATGTTGCAAGTGCCATCAGAAACCCGAAATCATCCAAGGCACTTGCATCTCCATGGTGATGTTGAAACAGCTTTATGAGCCAGGAGTAGAGTACCTTACTAAAGTCATCAACTTGTCGATAGCCACCCTAGTAGTTCCAGATGCATGGAAAATGGGAATGGTGGTCCCGCTACTTAAGCCAGCAAAGGTGAGTCATACAGGCCGATCTCACTTTTGTCGCCAGTAGCTAAGACACTTGAGGCGGAAGGACTCAACCAGAACAGTTCGTGTAACAAGACAGTCATGGTGGTCTATCAAAGGCATTTGATACCGTCAGTCACGCCAAGCTGTTTCAGGAAAGTTTGAAACATTAGATCGTGAACTGTATTCAAAGACATGGATTAGAAGGTCCGTAGAGTTAAACAGGGAGTTTCCCAAGGAGGGGTAATATCTCCGGAACTGTTTAACCTCTACCTCTCTGGAATTCCACGCCCACCGGACGGCATACATATGCAGGTGATTGTACGATTATGGCGTCAGGGCCAAAATTGATGACAATTGCGAGAGGGTGATCCACTATCTGGAGGATATCGCAGACTTTTTCCCGTCGAGGAATATGGAAATATCTGCCACTAAGTCAACGGCCACACTGTTTACCACATGGACAGCGGAGATGCGGCTATCTTTGAATGTGCAGGTTGAGGGGTCCACAATTCCGAACACCAATTACCCCAAAGTCACAAAGTCTTTACAAGTCGTCCGCCCATGCTACAGCTATTTGCGATAAAGTCAGGAGCAGAAGCAAGGTTCTCAAGTCGCTAGCCGGCAGCACTTGGGGAAGCTGACAAGATTTCTTAACAAGATTTCTTTGTCAACAATAGGCCGGTCTTTGGTAAACTATGCTGCACCAGTGTGGTCCGCTAACGGCAGTGCAACGCAGTGCAAAATCTTCAATCCTGCCAGAATGCCGGCCTGAGGATTGCAATAGGGTGTCTCCTCATAACTCCAATAGACCACTTACATAAGGAGACGAAGATCCTTCCTGTGCGTCAACCCAACAAGTTCTTGTCGATGCAATACCTGCTTTGGTGTTATAGGAATAACCATCGAAATCGTTACCTAATGGATAGGCATGTCAGGAAGGATCTCCATGATCTGGAGAGAGAGAGGTCTAAGTGTACAAAAGGGAGCCTCTCTATCAACAGGCCTATCAAGCAGAATTGAATCGTATTAACACGGATGAAGTTCAGGAAGCAATTCGAGAACATCGTGTGAATATCATCCTCGGAGATCACCTGCCTATGATAGCTGCAGAAGAGCAGCAGCTACCTCGACATACCAGAGTGGTTTTGGCACAACTAAGATCTGGATGGTGTAGCCGCCGCAATTCATATTGGGCACGATTTGATGGAGAGGTCGTCAATATCTGCCCGGCATGTGGTAATGGACCACATGACACGCTATACCTATTCAATTTCCCAGCCAAACCCACTCACCTAACCTTCTCTTTGGACTCAACCGATACAGGTCGCAACCTTCCTGAACTTGGACTTAGAAGCAGAACCGGATTAAGGAGAATAAGAAGAAATACAAGGCAGTACAAGCTGCTACAACAACAACTCTCCTATAACCAAAAGAATCGTAAACATTTTTTTTGTCACTAAGGTGGAAAATGTGGCTAAAAACTTTAAAATACACAGAACATTAAGCAATTTCTTTAAATGGGATAGATAGGTAAAAAAATGGACCTATACTAAATCATCCTCCAAAAACCTCAAATATTAAATTACAGCCGCTTAAAAAATGCGGAAATCAGATCAGCGTCTTTATATGAGAGGCCAAATACAACCAATTCGGTAGGAAATTCGGCTATATGGAGTCAAAGTCAGAACATGGAACATGCTACTCGCTAAGAATCCTACTTCGTTTTCGAAATTTGCCTAAAAACTTCAAACCCACTTATTTTTCACCCTCTAAAAAACGACTAGTGACATTTAATGAGTAAAGTCTTTAAACTCCCGAAAACAGGGTGGAACTTTCATTAATCATATTCTGCACTTGTGTGCCATCCTGCAAAAACCAGAATTGCCACGCCCATATCGGAAATTGCTTACCAAGATTTGGTTTTTTACATCCAAAGAACGCAGAATGTCAAATTACATAAATTCCGATTGAAAAATACGGCTAGAAATTTCCAAATGCCTCTAATAATCCAAAAATATATGTTAAGAGTCACTTAGGTGAGAAAATGCAACTAAAATTAAATCGAAAAAAATCGTAAGAATACTTTCCCTGCAAGTTACAGCTACTTCGTTGAGAAAATTTGCCTATAACCTTCAACATACAACAAAAACGAGAGTCTATATATAAGGGTTATACCTAAACGGGGGCAAACTTTGGAAAATGTCTGCAACTACCGTCGATTTCCACAACGGGATATATTCGGATATAGGTGATGACCATTTATAAGTAAGGTCATTCTCTTCTACGTGAAATGACTCCTTTTCCAAAACTGCAAAAAAATAAACTATTTAAATTGTACTTCCTTTCTAGAGGAAAATTAGGTTAGGTTTGGGGATATCCAGTCACTTATGTGGCTGCAGCACTCTGACACCGTCAGGTCCATTGTGATCATCCACGAAAAGAAAAGATATAAGGAGATATCTATAGGGGAGATAAAGAGAGATGAGAAGCTTACAATAAAGTATAAGAAGGTAAGTTTGAAATAGTATCGATGGCTAGAGATCAGACAGAAGATATATTACTTGTCAAGGTAGCACTTTCCCAACCACTTTAGGTTTCTAATTATGCTGTAGATTAGAGCAGGTTCAGTTGTTGAGAAGAAGCTAAGACTAGGTGGAAAATGACCACCCACTAGTCTGTGCCGAATGTAAGCCAGGGCAGGGCAGTGACACAGCAGATGCTCAATTGTCTCTGTCTCCTACTCGTCAACGCAGAGTCTACAGTAATCAATTGCATCATGATCCCGTTTACTAGTAAAGGCCTTGATATTGCAATGACCAGTAATGATTCCTGTCAGCTTTGCTCAGGTTCAACAGTGAGTGTGTCCTTTTGATAGACAGAGTCGGCCAAATAGATCTTGATACATTGCACCTATATCCGTTGTGTCATATTGGATCTGTCTGTATAGAAGGCCAGACCGTCCAGAGGAGGGTTACTTCGGTTCCAGTCGTCTCTATTAGGAATAACGACATCTACATCATCAAATCTCAGGACTGGTGATATATAGTCGCTTAGTTTTACGCGTTGGTCCATTGTCATACCTGACTCGTTCAAGATACAATGATGCCCAATGGTACACCTTCGCTAGAGGTTTTGTTCATGTAGCTTTAGGGCGCTACGTGCGGTCTGATACTTAATGCTGAGGCCCAGAGGCTTAAAGTTCAGCATGTAAGAGCTCGAATGTTGCGAATTATTCCGAAGACAGCAGGTAAACAAATTATGATGTACGTAGCGAAATTATAACCAAATGACCAGTTTTTGTCACGGAAACTATACCAAGTATCCTAGGAGTGTTAATGCATGTATCTGCAAACAAATTCAAAGCTCTACCATAGATATTTCGATCTCTATCGTAATTTCAACAGTCAGACGGATCAACGAATCATTTTATACTTACATTGAATTTGTACTCCACCTCATGGTATAGAAATCATCGTTTATTACTCTGACAATTGTGAATAAATATATTTTAAAATATCCCAGATTTATATAATTTATTTATGTAAAATTTCAAATTAACTTTTAACAAATTTATTATTCTTCGACGTTTACGTTACGTCCCCAGCACTAACTGCATTGTATTTGTTAACGGCGTCGACGTCCGACGACATTCATTGTGTTTACTGTACAACATGACAACTCTGTGTCAAATGATGGTGCAAGTCAATTTTCATGCTCCGCCAAACAGCTGATTAACATTTGGATCCCCTGCGCTATATTGCCACAAATTCTAGAAATATACGGAATTTTCCGAAACTACCCCCAAATTGTATACAAAAATCAAATAAATAAACCACAAACTTACAAGCGTAGTTATTTTCATTCATCAAGACAGTTGATAAACAACAAAAAACACAAAGAAAACATGGAACGCTGTTACAACAGAGGCTGTGGACAAGAATACGACCCGGAGAAAAACAATGATGGTAAGTGGAAAAGATAACCGTTAAAAAAATAACCGGGAAGATTAATAAATGTAAATGTTATTTAATGAAATTATTAATGTTGTGATGGAAACATAGAATAATAAACAATTGATTAATGCGTCATATCCACTAGAAGGACATTTATTTTACCCATGGTCTAGAAAATTCTATGACTCATTGTGTATTTTCTATTTTTTTGATTTCAGAATCATGTCGCCATCATCCTGGTGCTCCATTTTTCCATGACGCCTATAAGGGTTGGTCATGTTGTAACAAGAAATCCGTAGACTTCACCGAATTTCTAAGCATTAAAGGCTGTACCTTGTCCAAACATTCAAATATTAAACCACCAGAGCCGGAGAAACCTAAAAAAGAAGAGAATGACGACAAAGATGTAGTAGTAGAAATTCGGGCACCCATCAGAGAATCATTACCCAGGCCACCAGTGGAAACTGCAATGACACCCATTACGGCTACCGTTGCTCCAGCCTTAAAGGATCTCATTGACAATCTAGTGGCCAAGGATCCCGCCAAGGCCGAGGCCAATGGTACAGAGTAAGTTTTCGTGGAACAAGTCAAATTTAGGGGTAAGTTTTCGTGGAACAAGTCAAATTTCATTTTGAGACTGTTTAGGTTTTTTATTTTATGTCGGCCACCTGGTCTGATTGAATATCGTTGTTTTTCAAATCCAAATCCTGATTTTTAAGTCCAAATTTCGGGAAACATAAACTTCCGCGAGAAAAAAAATGTTGTTATCAGGGCCATATATATAAATTTCAAAATGATCCGCTACCGTACCTTAAAATTGAGTTAAGACATTTTCTTCATTTCTTAAAAATGAACGAACCCCACGCACTTATTATGACACTTTTTTTTTTTTTTTTTTTTTTTTTTGTAGTGAAATTGCCATTGGTACCAGTTGTAAAAATTCTGGTTGCACATATTCCTACACTGGTACATCTACCGATTTTGGTGAGTGTCAGTATCATTCGGGTGTCCCCGTATTTCATGAAGGCATGAAGTACTGGTCTTGCTGTCAGCGTAAAACTACCGACTTTGCTGTATTTATGGCACAACAAGGTTGCGTCAATGGCCAGCATAAATGGGTTAAGGACAATGATGATAAACGTGTTGTGCAATGTCGTTATGATTGGCATCAAACAGCCACAAATGTCATAGTATCCATTTACGCCAAGAAATATCATTATGCCAAGAGTACGGTAGAAGTGAATCCTATACGTTTACATGCCATTCTGGTATTTCCCGACCAGGAGAATGCCAAATTTGAATTGGATCTGGAGTTGAGAGGGGTAAGTAGGGCAATCAAACCACAATTAAATAAAGAACTAAAAATTAAATGATTTCCTTTTCCCTTTTAGATTATTGATGTCGAGAAAACCACTGCCCACATGTATGGCACGAAACTGGAAATCACCATGCCCAAAGCTGAACCTGGTTCCTGGGCCAAATTGGATTTCCCCCGTGAAAAATTACCCCCACCAGTTAAACCAGGCCAAGCTGTACCTCAAAAAACAAACACATCAGGAGGAGACTCCGATGATGATTTTAATTTGGATGATATTGAATCGGTCTCCCACGGTGTAACGTTAACAGAGCTGGCATCCAAGAAACCCGATCTGGACTGATTCCGTTATAAAATAAATGCACCACTTTCTCGCCCCAAAAAAACATCGTCATATTTAAAATTTGTTTGTACAATTCCTGTGTATTTCTTTCTCATAATATTTCACATCCCCTTATATGTTAAGGTTTAGTGTATTTCCTTTTTAATTGCATTTCTATTAAGCCAAGCCATTTCTTCCTTTTTTATATGTATAAAAAATATAACATAATTCCTAAATAACACTGAAAACAACGACTGTGTTTTATTCCATCTTTAGTCACTATCATCACCGGGCACCCAATCTTCATCGTCGTCGTCATCCTCATCCAAATCGATGTCGTTGATGCCCTGGAACAAACTTTCATCAATTTTAACATTTTCAATGCTATCACCGGCTTCCATAAGAAATTTAATATCGGAATCATTAAGCGTGGTATCGCGCATAAACAACTCCCGGCCGGTGAGTTTCTTGTTGTCATTCGATTTTTCACGTTTGGCAGCAATGCCCATACTCTCCTCGAATTCCATTTTCCATTTCATAAATGTTTCCACGGTTACACGTGTTCCCTCGAAACGTTTACGTTCCGCTTCCTCAGCTTCGAGCAAGCGGCGTTCACGTTCATCTTCCTGAGCTTTTTTGTAGTCATCCCAACGTTCATTCAACCATTCTTGGGCTGTACTGACCAATGTGAAAATCATTTCCATGCCAATATTTTCCTCAATTGTCGATTTCAAGTGATCCAACAAACGTTGTTCGTAGTCATCCTCAAAATTTACCGGCTCATCGATTTCTACTACTGGAGCTTCATCGGGATAGGTTGGAGTATAGGTGAACACCATTATACAACTAAGACCATTCTCTTGAGTATCCTTGTCAAATTCTTCTGTCGCTATGGGTATTTGGAACTTGTGAAATGGTTCCTTTTCCAAAACTGTAATAAAATGGAACCATTAAAATTGTGATTTCTTTTTTGGGGCTAAGACAAGAACTTACTCTGCATATCGCCACAGTAAATCGAGTCGAGAGCTTCAATTTCATTGTTTTGATCCTCTTGGTAGTTTCGGCTCATTGTGGATAATAATTGGAATCACTTCACAAAACTCAAAATCACAAAATAAATTGCAAAAATTCCGTGGCCAAAATGCAGCTGTTTTGTTGTTTTGAGGTTATACGAACTGTCAACATGTAAACAAAAGACAACATGCAGTGTTACCAGATTAGCTTCAATGGCTAACTGTTGTATTGTACAAATGTTTACAAATCTAGGCACATAAAAAAATCCAATGCAGTTCTTCGGGGGCTCACAAAGAGGACACAATTTAAAACGTATAATACGTCGACGGGTTTAAAAAAATACAAAATGGCGATTTTTTAAGCCTTAGCTTAACTAACAGGTTTTTATCAAATTAGACGAAATTCTTTGTATACGAATAACCTATCAAATCCTAGCGGGACTACACAGAATATCAACTTATTGAAGCTGAACTCGATATTTTAAAGATTTTTAAATCTTGTCTACGCATGATATACTAAATCGAAAGTGGACTAGTTGGAGGAGGAGTAAAGGCGAAAAAATCCAATGGAACAAAGTCGTACGGGAACGACTTTTGGCTAAATACACAATAGTTATATGGACACGAACTATATGAACCAATTTTTACAGAAGTTCCTTTATACAAATTATGGTTGTATATGAAAACTTTGGTATCAATCATATAGATGTAGTACTTTTGGAGGATCTACGTCTGAATATCATCTGATTTGATGCTAATTCATTATTTTTTTCGAATATTGGTATAGTTCCTATATAATGTTGCCGACACATTTTTAGTATTTTTAAGGTTTAGTATCATTTTACAACCGAACAATTTGGCATTCTGGATGTTGAAAGGCATCTGTGTTAAATACATAGGTCCATATTTTGATATAGCTCCATATTAATGTTCCGCCCTAATATATCGGATAATCGTAGAATCATTAGTGCAAAAAATTAGCGTGAAACGTACTTAGGAAGCACGATTTGACGTACGAACATGTGTTGTGTTGTTTACAGTGACTTGAAAAAGCGGAATTATCCTGTAAATATTAACAGAATGACTTGTTGCATTTGTTTTTATTTATTCTGACATTATAGCCCACAACTTAGATGTATTTTTTCTTTGCTGACAAAAGATACCCTACCTTGTATAATTGTTCCACGCGTGAACTGGAAAAACTGAATTTATTAATTCAGTTCGAAGCCGACGCTCGCTCAACGACGAATATCATTCAAGAAAGGATTTTGTATTTCAGAACATCGAAGGCTATGAGATAGAGGCATCTTTGCTAATTTCTTAAACAACTTGCCGAAAATTTAATAATCGATTAAAAACATTATAACTTCGTCTATTTCTTTGGCAAAACTAGTCGATCCGCTTGAGCAACTTAGAACAGTTAATTTTGGTTGTACACCGTGATTTCATTGTCTAAAGTTTTCGGAGAACTTGAACTTCGACTCAAATCAGCCCCTTTGTGTCTAGTTAAAATTAAAATTTATGAATCTTCGCGAGTAAAGTTTTAACACTTCTTCTGTTTAATCCATACATAAAGGAAAAAATGCTTGGTCAAAAACTATATATTAGGTTGGGGAAAAAGAAATGCGTTATTTTTATATGAACTATAGGACTTTATTTAACATGCTTCGGAATGTCCGATTTTGATATGCACCGTTTTGTTGTTGTAACAGGTTGGCTGTTGACGAAAGTTCTTTCCTGAAAAATGTTGATAGAAAAGAAAACGGAAGAAGGAAATGAAAATATATTAATTAATTAATTAGGAATTCGGATTTGAAGAGGGTAGCCGGAGAAATTGTGCCACCTCTATTGGCTTTAGCCATAAGTCTATGGGCAATAGACTCGTAGGCTCGGACGGACAATTGAATAAATGGTGTGTGTCGTGAGGGCTTTGCTGGCAGGAGGGACAATGCGCTCTCGATACGAGTTGAGTACATGGCTGTATCCGGACCTTAGTTGTTTTGTTGTATGATTTGTTGCCATTTTAAAGGTAACTTCATAATGCCACTCTCATAGAAGTCCTGATCTCAATTTTTTATTATTAAAGAAATTTTGCAATGCAAGAAGAAGATGATAATCGCTTGGTACCAAGTCCGGACTGTATGTCAGATGCATTGAAACTTCCCAACCAAGCTCCAGAAGTTTCTGGCGATTTTATCAACATGTTAAACGAACGGCCTACCTGTGCGAGGTGCATCTTTAACATCAAAAATCCCTGAACGTAATCTATGAAACCAAAATTGTACATAATTGACAGTTACAGTATAGGAGCCATAAACACCATTCACAATTTTAGCCGAACACACTGTAACACACAACTGAAGGCACCAAACAAAAGCCAGCAAAATTTTTTTTTACTTCGAAATGTCACCCTTCCATCGAGCATGAATCTGTTTGAAAGATACTTTACGAGTAATCTATCAGTACAGCCATCTTCCGAAAAAATGCATTCCTTTTTCTCCAACCTAATATATTTTGTTTTATCTTAATCGGATTTAAAATTTCTATAATGGATATAACTTGAAGACGATTTAGACATTTATATTCGTCCGCAAAAGCAACTATGTAGATAGTGGCTTTTTCTGTCAAATAAAAAAACATACGTAACTAGTAATAGTATTTATTTGACATTTTTTCAACACATAAATAAAATCGCGAAAAATGAATGAAAGGCTATATAATTCTTCTAAAATCCAGTAGAGAATACCATAAAATGTTTGTTTCATCACAAGATACAACAAATAAGGTAACCTCATACTCACATATGATCAATTTTTTTTTATTTTAACAACCCTTTATTGTCAAAATAGTTTTGACACAACCTATAGGTGTAAATAATAAACACACACACTTACATAAATCCATGGTACAATAATACAAGGTAGGGCAGCTTGATGTGAATAACAAAAAAGCAACTAGTGTTTGTGTTTATTTGACATTTTTTTCAACACAAAACTAAAATCGCGGAAAATGAATGAAAGGTTATTATTTCTTCCCAAAATCCAGTAGGGAATACCATCAAAGATTTGTTTCATCCATAACAAAGTAATTACTTCCAGACGAACATGTTAAAAACATAATTTTCATTTCAATTAAATTTGAATATATTTCAATTTATTTGAATTTATTTGACATAGTATTCTAAACATTACACATACATACACAAAATATGTACTTTGATTTGATGGAACAAGCCACCTTGAGAAAAAATTTTAATCAGTTGGTAGCTGTGCCCTACCTTGTAATAATTATACCATGCATAAATCCCTTTCAATAAAAAAATTTTGAATACTTGAAAACCAAATTGTAAAGACATTTTTAATATCGAAATCATTATGTGCCTGGAATAATAAGGACAATATGGAATCCTCAAATTTAGGAGTAGGAAAGAATGGACTTGTTCTTCAAAACGAAATTTTGCCCTAGATCGATGTTATTCTTGTCTAGTAGATCAGCTGAAGGTCTTCTAATAGTTAAAGCCCCTCTTATGGGAAAACATAAGTTCGCGGTTTAGAAGATAAAAGGGGATTCTTCTAGAAAATCAAAAACGAGAACTAAAAGGCATTAAAGACTTCTTCTTAATATTAGGCAATAAAATAAAAAAATGAAAGACATAGAAGAACTATTCAGCTTCTCATATAATAATTGATGGAACCGAAGATGAGCAAAAGGTCTTCTCATAGAAGAGCTGAAGGTATTCTTCTAAAATAACTGAATGTCTTCTAAAAAACTGAAAATATTCTTCTAAAGGGGTTAATGTCTTCTCATAAAATAGCTGAAGTTCTTCTCTAAAATTTGGTCTGTTTCCGTACTGCAAGAATCTACTATTTTTTACTACGATAACAATTTTTTCCTTTATGATATTGAAATAAATTGTAAAAAATAGTAGATTCTTGCAGTTCGGGAACAGACCAATAGTTGAATGCCTTCCTATTATTTTAAAACTCAAACAACAACTTAAAGCAACTATTAGATCGTAAAATCGCTTCGTATTCAAATTGTACAAATTCTGCCATTAGGATTATTTCATCCTGAATGCAAGGATGTAGCGATGTCAAATTTTGTGGATAACCTATTTAGGATAGTTGTATTAAATCTGTGAACAGAAATTTGATCTAACATTGCGGAAAAAAACGGGGCTCAAAGGGTTAAAGAATGAAGAATACAGAAATTGTATAAATTAAATAATCAATCTATGTTTAAAAATAAATTATTTGGTGTGTACCAGAACTGCAGAACTCTAAAAATATTTCCTTTTTTCGATATTATAAAGAAAAAGTTATTTTCTTAATAAAAATGTTTATATTCTATTACTGTATTTAGCTACGTTTCTCTTCCGTATCGATTACGTCAAAGTAATCTGGCTACTCTCTCTCTCTTTTCATTTGACATTTGTATGTAGCCGTCTGTTTTGACAATTGCATTTTGACATATTTTAAGGTTAGAAAATTTTAACATCTCTTGTGAACTTGGTTTTCTTGTGCAAAATTAAGCAAGCAGGTAAATTTTTTTCGAACAAATTTCATACATTTCCACTAAAAATTATTACATTTTTTGCAATTTAAATGTGTAAATGTTTAATTTCTAAACTGACATAATAATTCTAATCAAATAATTTCTCTCGCTCTCTTATTTAATAGATTTTCTCTACTGATACCCTCGGTTGCCGCTCATTACATAACTTGCGAAAATGTCTCAAGCTCCAGTCCGTGTATCTCCCTTGATCAAATTCTTCAGATGGTCCTTGTTGACCGTCGGTGTTGGCTACGGTGCCTTCCACCAAAACCGTCTGTCCAAGAAGGAGGAGAAGGTTCGCGAAATCGAAGCCCAAAAGAAGGCTGTTCGTGACGCCAAATTGGCCGAGGAGAAGAAAATCAGTGCCGCTGCCGAAATCCGTGCCTTGGAGGAATTGAGCAAACCCGCTCCCAAGAAGGCATAGATTCATCGCGAGTCAACACAAGTTCATTGTATAATTAGTTATATTTAATTAAAGAAGAAGAAAAAAAATGAAACACCAATAACAACTAAACGACATCATTTGGATTTAAAAAATCTATTTGACGGGTGTTTGGTGTTATTCAAATGTTTTCAAGTGTGGTGACATCAGTGGATTCCAATTTGGGGTTTTCTTTCATTTGATCATTTTCTGTTGCTTAAAGTGATGATGTTTTGTCAAAAAGAAAACAATTAAAAATCGATCCCACTTGTGGGAATAAAAAATAAAGCAAATAGTGTTTGCATTTAAGCAAGGATTTCAAAAGTGTTGTGGATAAACAGTTGTTTGTGTGATGATCGACCGACCGTCTTAGTGGAACTTGTTGAACATACACCAATTTTCCAAAAGAAAATATTTGGAAACTTTTGTGAAGACAACACAAATTGTTGAATATATAACTAATAGTTCACATATACAGCCACAAATCAAAATGGAGTGATATAATACATATTTAATGTGCGTACTCGTACAAGGTGGCAAATTTTTGGACTATCGTAGAATTCCCTAATAACTTTGTTAGGAACTGATATCAATTTGAAGCATTACTTTTTTTATAGAATAACGCTTCAAGATCAAAGAAAGTAATATTTATGGGTCATTTGTTTTTGTAAAAATTGTACAATACTTGTCCGTAATCAACGAGATGTTTTTTCTTACAGAAGTCCATTCTGCCTGAGATATGAACCGTCAACATTCGATTGATACAATGCATTGGTCTCCCCCATTCGTCTTAAAATAAACTCTATATAATAAGGGTATCATCTTTAAGCGATTAAAGTCATGATTCCATTGCGTATCCGCTGTTTGCTGATGTCCATAGTGAAAGGTCTTTCATCATCGTCTGAAAATCCTGCACCCAATAAAACTACGGGTTCCCTTTTTCTTTATTAAATGTTTACCATTGCAGTTTTGTTACTAATCACAACAACACAATTTTTTTAGGAAGGAAATATACACATCTTGAGATAGGGTTTTTCATTTTTTTTAAATCAACTTGTTATTAAATGTCTATGGTCAACCGTTCAGAAACGTTCTGATGCTCATTACATTTCTTGTGGGGAACTTCATAATTTCAGAGCTACTAGATATCAAATTGTTTACAATAATCCCATTATATATGCGTTCCTCGGTCGAAGACAAGCTATTTAAAAAGAAAATTTAAATTAAAAGAAAATTCCGATCGTGTGGCCTAAATTTTCAACTGTTCATGGGCGAAAGTCTAAAATCCGAACAAAGGTCCGACATTTTAATAAAATTTATAATTAATAAAAGAGTAAAGAAGTCTGTCACTGTTGCTGACAAATATATACCCTCAGTCTATTGTTTGTGGAGGTCGACGGATTTACTGTCTATTTATTACATTTTATAATTTTAATTTAAAAATTGTGAAGGGTACCAAACAGATAATGGACCTATATAGCCAATAAATGTACTAAATCTATATATAGTATAAATATTAAGGTCTGCCGTTTTAGACCATGCAGTATTTACTATTCGCTTTATATAAGGCATATGAGTTTATGAAAATGTTGACCATCTGTGGGGGAGAAGTACCAGAAAAAGTTGCCCTATAGACCTTATCAGTGATTTCGATGTAAGTTTGATAATAATGGATAATTTGGTAAAATGGGCTCTTATTGGGTATCAAATACATCCACTAAAAATTATAAATATAGGTAAATTCTTTTGGGTAGCACTCATACAAGGGTACCCCCCCAATTTTCGGTAATTTTGGGGTTCTTGAGGACGTTTTCATCCGAATTCGTTGAAATTTGATACATTGGCTTCTTATTGGGTACCAAATATCTCTACTAAAAATTATAAATATGGGTCCATTTTTTCGGTTAGCCCCCATATAAGGGTACCCCAAATTTCGGTATAACAAATCTCCCTACCAAAAATTATTAAAATTCGCCCCTTTTAGGGGTAGTTCCTATTTTAATATATATTAAAATAGTTAGCTGATTAGTTCCGTATGTCGTTACTCGAAATAGTATGCAATTCTAAAACGATTTAGCCACCGGTTGTAATCATTCTACTTTCCAAAGATATCTTGATAAAAAAAAACTCGAACCCGACGATAATGAAATATGTCGGCCTGAATTTAGGCATCTTCCCACAAAATAGTACCCTCCTCAAGGCCTCATATAACTTTGCCTATATAACTTTGTAATCTGAATTACAGTAGTTTGAGGATTTTATACTCTACCATACGTTATCAGTCCACGTTTGTGAGGTTTTCAGATTTTACGAAAAATCCTCATTAAAAATTGCGGAAATTTTTATTAGGTGTACATTATGGTTTACATAATCGGTTTGTAGGAAAATTCGTCCAGGATCACTGAAATGCAAAAACGGAGCAGGACTTTATTATGGAACCTCTGCCAAACCATGGATTTGTATTGACAAATATCTTCGAGGAGGTATTTACGCTTTGATAACTTATGACTATGGTGAAAATGTTCTAGACCCCATCTTATTATTTCTTCCAAACTTAGTTCATGTTCGAAGATGAGAAATATCGGTCCACCCCTTCTCTTACCTCCCACACAGGGACTAGGACTAGGCGATTACTAATTACTCACATTATACACACAACCCAAGTAACTCTATATTGTTTCTACTTGTTTCACTTTCGATTGTTTCTTTTTTTACTTCTATTTTCGAAACAACAATAACTTATTAATGTGCTGTACTTATTTGGTGATCACATTCATTTTTTAAATCTCGATATCCTCCGCAGGTGAAATGATTACAACAGAGTTTTAGAACCAAACCCAAAACGCGGAACAAATCAGATAACTATTTTAATATTAAAAAGGGGGTTATATGGGAACTATCCCAAAAAGTCAGCCAATATTAATAATTTTTGGTTGGGAGATTTGTTACCATATACGACTACAAAATGCCAAATTGCAGCGAATTCGGTTGATAAACGCTCTCAAAAACCCCAAAATGCCGAAAATTGGTGCTATCCTTGTCTGGGGGCTATCGCGAAAAATGGACCAATATTCATAATTTAAGAACTTAAAATACTAAATTACAGCCAATTCGTTGGTAAAATACGATCAAAACCCCCAAAATACTGAAAATTAAGAGGTACCGTTATATTGGGGGCCAGCAGAAAAAGTGGATTTATATTTATAATTTTTTGTGGAGCCATTTAGTACCTAATAAGAACCCAATGTACCAAATCTCAGCGAATTCGTTATTGAGCGAGCTCAATAACCCCAAAATAACGACAATCTGGGGCACCCGTATATGGGAGCTATGCCTAAACGTGGACCGATATATCCCATCTTCGAACTTGACCTGACTGGATACAAACCTACGCAAATTTTCAGCACCCTATCTCAATTCCTTCAGAAGATTACAACAGACGGACGAACGGACAGACGTACTTTTACCCTGATCAAGAATATATATACTTTATAGGGTCGAAAATGAATATTTCGATGAGTTACAAACGGAATGACAAAATTAATATACCCTCCATACTATGGTGGAAGGTATAAAAAATAGAATCCATATTGAGTAATTGTTTGCATATTTGCACCTGTAAAAATTGTTACTGGTCTATTCCAATTTAAGGGACTTCGCTCAAAAATCAACAAGAAAAAATAAGTGGGCATGACGATTTCAAAAGACTTGTTCCTATATTAAAATTATATATTTTTCACAAGGATCTTCTTCGTAATTGTAAAGAACATAGATAAGAAAACTTTAGAATTTAAAAAATATTTGTAATTATGATATTTTTATCGATGCCGCTCTTAGGAACAAAAAATTACGATTAATATTAAAAAAATCCGTTTTGAGTGGTTTTATATAATGAAAGACTTGATGTGAAACGTAAATTCGTTTAACCTCTGAAATGAATTATTTAGCCATGCTGAGAAGTGGATAAAAGGCTCCCGAAGTCGGCACCATGATTTATAATTGTAATATTTTAATAAATAAAATTATCTTATATAATTGTTTAATACAACGCTGATGGAAACGTCGTATAATAAAAATTAATTAATGAAAATAGCAGAAAAATTAATTAAATAAATAATTTTTGTTTAAATAAAATACGAGATGCCGACTATTGGAACATGACATGGCGACAATTGGAAAAAAAAGTGCCGACTATTGGCACAAAGGCACTATTTTACCTAATTATCAATTTAATCTACTTTAATACAAATTAAGTAAACAAATTTTTATTGCATCGCGAAGTAAACAAAATTTGGAAACATATAAACCTAAATACAATATAGTGAACAAAATGCTCTCGGGATGGTGAAACATCTAAAATGCGAAAATCCTTAAAGTGCCGACTATTGGTGCACTTACCCTACATACTTTCAAAATGTTGATGACACTCTGTGGTCGAGGTACCAGAAGGACTGGAACGATGTGCCCCATCTTTGGAATTGATTTCGAGTTGATAATGATGTTGAATTCTCATTCGCCACTACACTAACTGACACCGTTTTTCAAATGTCATTAGGAAGAATGATGCTTTCTATCAACTTCATGTATTTATTTAGTTTTTATTGTTATATCTTTGAATCTGACCTCCTTTTGGACACTTTTATCGAATAAATTAGTTCCTAGATCAGTATAAAAGGACCATATAAAAGTTGAATGTCGTGATTTTTTAATTTGTTTTTTTTCGGATCTTGTCATTAAAAATTTTGATCGTCCTGTTCCCTAAGGTAAGGTCATTGTGCTGGATCCTGTATTCGGCACACAAGCAATCCATGCTATCGCATTTCTCACGATACGTCTATGAATAATGCAAAAAAATATCTTGAAAAAAAATTTACTCTTAAGTACGAATCACCCTGTATTCAGCTTTGTACACATTGAACACATCTTTTGGAGTCGAGGCCTAAATATTTTAGCAAATTTCTAAACCAAAAACGAAACAATATAGACAATCAGCTGTTGTAAACCAAACTAGTAAACATTTATCGAATATTAGAACCCTATTTGGTAAGTTTTCGTATTACCCAGCCCTATTACATTTCCTCAGGGTATTTATTTTAGTTTTAACTTTATTTTCTGTAATAAATATTAAAATATCATCAATCTAGTAATTAGATTAGTTAATAATTTAACCACATTAATCATTATAATGAAAAAAATGATGTAAACAATTTGTTTGCGTAATACATATTGTGTGTATGTGTGTGTGAGTGTAAATAAACAAATATTTTGACGCGCAAAATTTAAACAGCCAGCCGGATGAAAGCTGGTTTATATCATTCCATAGCTGGAAAAAAGAGTTAGGACAAAGTGTATATAAATTTGTCATTCCGCATGACTGGCTGGTGCGCACGACAACTCTCGAAGGGAATAATGGATTCCATCCAAACTTTGCACAACTATATATTTCTTCAATACTTAGTTTAAGTTCGAAGATGGGGAATATCGGTCCTCTCCTTCTGCTGCCTCCCCCACAAAATGTTCAAAATTGTGCTTAAAATTAATTTTATAATAATATGCAAACGGACTATCCGATTTTAACGAAACTTTGTACTGTCTATTATCTTTACCAAGCCTAGATTAAGTTTGAATATGGGTGCCGTTTGTCCATCCCTTGCGTTACCTCCCCCACAAAGGGTCAACATTTTCAATATTTATAAATCCAATATCAGACGAATGGAATGTCCGATTTTGACGAAACATTGTACAACCTATTACTTTTACCAAGCCTAGATCAGGTAGGAAGATGGGACCCATTGGTCCACTCCTGGTACGTGCCCTACAAAAGGTCAACATTTTCAATATTTATAAATCCAATATCAGACGAATGGAATGTCCGATTTGAATCAAACTTTGCATAACCAAGCCTAGATCAAGTTTGATGATGGGACCCATTGGTCCACTCCTTCTGGTACCTCCCCCACAGAAGTTCAATATTTTCAATATTTATAAATCCAATATCAGGCGAATGAAATGTCCGATTTGAGCAGAACTTTGCACACCCTGTTATCATTACCAAGTCTAGATCAAGTCGAAAGATGGGACCCATTGGTCTGCTCCTTCTGGTATCTCCCACACAAATGGTCAACATCCTCCACAAACCATAGGGAGAGGATATATCTGTCGGCAACAGTTGGTACATGCCGCAATTAGGTGCGTTTACCCTATATTCTTGATCAAGGTAAAATTCTATGACGATCTAAGCATATCCGTCTGAATTGACATAGATCGCCAAAATAATAGCTCCTATATAAGGGTATACCCCAATTTTTGGGTTTCAACTGAATTCGCTGAAATTTGGTACAATGGGTTCTTGTTGGGTATCAAATTTCTCCAATAAAAATTATAAATATAGGTCCACTTTTTCTGGTAGGGGGTGCTACAATTTTCAGTTTTTGGGGATTCTTAAAACATAAAAATATTGTACAGCGTACCAAATAGAGTCTAGAGTGACTCTAAGTTTCGTGAAAATCGGTTCAGATTTCGATATAGCTCACATATAAAAATTCGACCGATTTTATGTAAATGCTACACTAAAGACATAAAACGTTTCTCCGATAGTGATAGAACCTTGCACGGCGTACTTTAGGAGTCTAGAATTACCTAATTATAGCTGATTAGTTAAAAAATGAAGAAAATACCCTAAATACAGAATTTTGGGGTACCGCTATATGGGGGCTATTTTAAAAAATTGACCGATATATCTCATTTTCAATACCAAACATCCCAGAAGTAACATTAATTTAAGTTCAGAATTTCTATCTTCAATATTGCGAACTTTAGTTTTTTACAGGAATGTAGTTAGAAGTATTATGAGGTAGGTGGGAATAGTTCCGATGACTATGGAAATTGGACAGAAAACATATTACGTGCTAAGGTTGCACTTAAAGCAGGTTCCATTGTTGAAAAAAAGCTTAGAGACGGTGGAAAGTGAGCACCCACTAGCCTGTGTCTCGTCGGCACAGAGTCTGCAGTAATCAGTAACTTCATGGTCCCAATTATTGGTAAAGGCCCTGATATTACAATGACCGGTAATGACTCCTCTCATTACTCTAATTTCAGCAATGCTCATGTTCAACAGTGAGTTTGTTCTCTTGGTTGACAGAGTTTTCCAGATAGATCTTGACACAATGCACCTAGGTTTCTTGTGCCAGAGTTCATTGGCTCGTTCGTTCGTCTGCTTTTTCATTACCCATGATGTCACGGTGTCCTGGTACCCAAAACAGCCGATAGCTGTAAGTAAGTATTTCCAAAACTACTCTACACTCGAGTACGAACTCAGATTTGATTTTACAGGTTGATGGCTTTAAGAACCGGTTTGGAAAACACTACAGTTGCTATCCACCTTGTAGGTAAACTCAATGCTTAGCCTTTCACAGTAGACGCCGGTATAAAACGCCAGACCGGGTTGAGGCGGTTCCAGTTGTTTCTACTAGGGATAACGATATCTACATGGTCAAATCTCAAGACTGGTGACATACAGTCCCTTACTCTCCAAAAATTGGTATTTAGGTTGAAAAACGCGCTCAAGAACGCTCAAACAAAAATTATATATAGGTCCACTTTTTCTGGTAGCCCCCATTAACGGTACCCCCAATTTTAAGTTTTTGGTGGTTTTGAACGTATTTTTCGGTCGAATTGGCTGTAATTTAGTACTTTTTTTTATTGAGACCAATTATTGTATCGACTGTGAAATTGAATGAAAAATGGTTTGTATCAGTTGGATTTATTACGTTCATGCCCGTGTGGTTATTTATAGTACTCTTTGCGAACAGAGGGTCTGATGGAAGTTCAATTAACAGGATTTACTTCAAAGCGTTTACTCGTCGTGTGGAAGTTCTGCTGCAACGAACTTATGGCCTATATTTTTCCTGTTTATACCCTTCACCACACTGTGGTACAGGGTATTATGTATTTGTGCATATGTTTGTAACAGGCAAAAGGAAACGAGATAGACACATGGTTCCTTTTGAGAATATGCATAGAATCACTTTTTGAATTGATTTATGCATGTCCGTCCTGCCGTCTGTCCGTCCGTCCGTCCATGTTAAATTGTAAACAAAGTACAGGTCGCATTTATTATCCGATTTATATGAAATTTGGCACAGCTCACTTATTTGGCCCAAAGACGAACCCTATTGAAATTGGAAAAAATCGGTTCAGATTTTGATATAGCTCCAATATATATTTTCGTCCGATTTAAAATAAATGGGGCACCAAAGTCCCTATATATGTTTCGATTTGAACGAAATTTGGCATAGCGTACTGAATTAGTTTCAGAATAATGTGTGCCAATTTTCGAGAAAAACGGTTCAGATTTAGATATAGCTCCCATATATAGTTTCGTCCGATTTAAGGTAAATGGTGCACCAAAGTCCCAATATATCTTTAGATTTGCACGAAATTTTGCACAGCGTACTGAATTATGTCTAGAAAGATGTGTGTTAAGTTTCCTGAAAATCGGTCTAGATTTAGATGTAGCTCCCATATATATTTTCGTCCGATTTAATGTAAATGGTACACCGAATACCCTATATATCTTTCGATTTGCACGAAATTTGGCACAGCGTAATGAATTAGGTCTAGAATGATGTGTGTTAAGTTTCCTGAAAATCGGTCCTGATTTAGATATAGCTCCCATATATATTTTCGTCCGATTTAATGTAAATGGTCCACCAAATACACTATATATCTTTCGATTTGTACGAAATTTGGTATAGTGTACTGAATTAGGTCTAAAGTGATGTGTGTTCAGTTTCGTGAAAATCGGTTCAAATTTAAATATAGCTCCCATATATAATTTCGTCCGATTTAATGTAAATGTTGCACCAAAGTCCGTCCCTACATATCTTTTGATTTCATGAAAATCGGTTCAGATTTGGATAGAGCTCCTATATATATTTTCTCCCGATTTTAAGTACATAATGCATATAACTTAACCAATGACAAGTTTCAATGAAATCGGTTTAGATTTCGATATAGCTTATATATATATATATATATATATATTTCCTTTACATTGCTTTAAATATTATTGTGCCATTGTGAGAAGCAACCTTATATCTGACCAAATGAAAAAATTAGTATAGGTTGCAGGATGACATGTTTATGGATCCATTTTCATGTTAATGGTCCTTCAAAAATTCGACGTCTGTTAGGATATATACCAAAAGTGGTGAAGGGTATCATATAGTCGGCCCCGTCCGACTTTACTACTTTCCTTACTGGTTTTATAATATGAACGGGTACATATCTACCTTTTCGCACTTTCAGCGTCCTATGCGTGCTTGCGATTGTATGAATGTGTTCTTTTTTTTGCCAATAAATTCCATTAAATCAATATTTCGACTAACTATTGTTCAATGAAATATCCATAGTAAACTCATCATATGTAATACGTATGTAAGTTTGTGCTGTTAAACAAACAAAAGTGTTAAAGTTTAGTGGTGTTACAATTTTGCGCTATAATTACTCATGCAATATTTAATATTGCCTAAGAACACGCAAACCTCTTCATCGTTATAGTAGTAGGTCGTCCATTGTGGAGGATATTTGTAGCTACTGTTACAGGTAAAAGTCAAATGGTGTTCTATACGTTAGCCGATAAATGTGCGCGCATTTGCAATGGCTGAATTTATAGATAATTTACCGGATGAAGCAAAATTCGTGGCAGAAAAAGGTAAGTGTTTGTACTTTTCAATTTAGTATTTATTTTTTGCGTTTTTATTAAATTTTTTCTTATTTATTTGTATAAGGAAAAATCAAAAGTGCCGAACAGGCCATATTGACACCAACCGCCCACTTGTTGTTACAGGAAAGTTCTCCACATGATATTTATGTGCTTAAGGCGTCCGCAGCTAAGGTGGTGGCCAAAGAAAGTATCAAAGGTATGTTTTGATGTGATTGTCGGTTAAATTATTGTCTCGGATTTTTGGATGATTGAAAGAATTCTTAAACAAATCAAGCTGATGATTCTATAAATGGTTAATTTTTATACCCTTCACCACACTGTGGTACAGGGTATTATGTCTTTGTGCATATGTTTATAACAGGCAAAAGGAATCGTGATAGACCAGACCCATGGTTCCTTTTGAGAATATGGATAAAATCACTTTCTGAGTCGAATTACGCATGTCCATCCATGTATTTTAGTAAACAAAGTACAGGTCACATTTATTATCCGATTACAATGAAATTTGACACATGTCACTTATTTGGCCCAAGCACGAAGCCTATTGAAATTGGAGAAAATCGGTTCAGATATAGATCCCATATATAGTTTCGTCCGATTTTAGGTAAATAGTGCACCAAACTCCCAATATTTGTCCGATTAAGACAAAATGTTTGCACAGAGTAATGAATTAGGTATAGATTGATGCATGCGAAGTTTTGTTAAAATCGGTTCAGATTTAGATATAGCTCCCATATATAGTTTCGTCCGATTTTATATAAATGGAGCACCATACTACCAATATTTGTCCGATTGAGCAAAAATTTCGCACAGAGTATTGAATTAGGCACTGATTGGTGTATGCCAAGTTTTGTTGAAATCGCTTCATATTTGGATATAGCTCCCATATATAATTTCGTCCGATTTTAGGTAAATGGTGCGCCAAACGCCCAATATTTGTCGGATTGAGACAAAATTTTGCAGTGAGTACTGAATTAGGTCTAGATTGGTGCATGCCAAGTTTTGTTGAAATCGCTTCATATTTGGATATAGATCCCATATATAATTTCGTCCGATTTTAGGTAAATGGTGCACCAATATTTTTCCGATTAAGACAAAATTTTGCACAGTGTATTGAATTAGACCCAGATTGATGTATGCGAAGTAGTGTTGAAATCGGTTCAGATTTAGATATAGCACCCATATATAGTTTCGTCCGATTTTATGTTAATGGAGCACCATATTGGTCCGATTGAGACAAAATTTTGCACAGAGTACTGAATAAGCTGTAGATTGATACATACCAAGTTTTGTTGAAATCGGTTCAGATTTACATACAGCTCCCATATATAGTTTCGTCCGATTTTATGTAAATGGAACACCATACTGCCCATATTAGTCCGATTAAGACAAAATTTTGCACAGAGTATTGAATTAGACCCAGATTGATGTATGCGAAGTAGTGTTAAAATCGGTTCAGATTTAGATATAGCACCCATATATAGTTTCGTCCGATTTAATGTGAATGGTGCGCCAAACGCCCAATATTTGTCCGATTGAGACAAAATTTTGCACAGAGGTCTAGATTGGTGCATGCCAAGTTTTGTTGAAATCGCTTCATATTTGGATATAACGATCATATATAGTTTCGTCCGATTTTATGTAAATGGTGCACCAATATTTTTCCGATTGAGACAAAATTTTGCACAGAGTACTGAATTAGCTCTAGATTTATACATGCCAAGTTTTGTTGAAATCGGTTCAGGTTTAAATATAGCTCCCGTATATAGTTTCTTCCGATTTTATGTAAATGGTGCACCATACAATCGATGTTTGTCCGATTGAGACAAAATTTTGCACAGAGTACTGAATTAGGTCTAGATTGATGCATGCCAACTTTTGTATTAGATTTTGTGCCGAGATAAATTTTGGATAGCGCACTGTGTTGCAGCATAGCAAATGGTGGATGCCACGGTACATATCTTTTACATATTTTGTTCGATGATTGACATCAATTTTTTCATCAAATTCAGATTAATATTCAAAGTGGTATCATATAGTCGGTCCCGTCTGACTTTTGAACTTTCCTTACAGGTTTAATTAATTAATAATTAATTAATTTTAGTTTCAGATCTTCTTGATCTTCCATATTGTATGAAATGGTCCCGGCTAAGTTTTGGTTGCGATGCTTTGGACAAATGTACTCGAGGTGGTATTGTAACACGAGGCATTACTGAAATTTGTGGTGTTGCTGGATCGGGTAAAACACAATTACTGTTACAGTTATCCCTGATGGCACAGCTACCAATGGAATTCGGTGGACTGGGAGCTGGTGTTGCGTTTATTTGCACTGAACATACATTTCCATCGAAACGATTATATGAACTTTCGAAAACCTTTACACACAAATATCCTTCGCTGAATATAAACTATTTGGCGCAGGTTCATGTCCAACAAATACACAATAGTGTAAGTTTAAAAATTTAATATTATTTCATATTTGATCATTTTCTTTTTTAGGAACAATTGCTGAAATGTTGTATCGAACATTTACCGCCATTAATGGCTTCGGAACGTATACGCCTTATTATAATAGATTCGGTGGCAGCTGTTTTTCGTACGTATAGCGATTTTATACAACGTGCTCGCGATATGCGTAAATTGGCAAATTGTCTACTAAATTTGGCCGATAGATATAATTGTGCTGTGATTTGTGTTAATCAGGTAGGTTTCAAATTTATTAAAAAAAACTGTAAAGAAAGTAGTAAAGTCAGACGGGGCCGACTATATGATACCCTTCACCACTTGGGGTATATTAAACAGATGAATCCTAACAGACGTCGTATTTTTTGAAGGACCAATAACATGTAATTGAATCCATAAACATGTTATATATATATATATATATATATCAAAATCTGAACCGATTTCATCAAAACTTGTCACATGTTAGGTAATACTAATTTCAGTATGTTTTGTGCACATTTTCGGCCACATTTTGAGTTCTTGGTGCATCATTTACTTAAATCGGGAGAAAAAATATATGGCAGCTCTATCTAAATCTAGACCGATTTCAACAAAACTACTTTGGGTCTTTGGTGCACCATATAGTAACTTCAGTACATAGTGCAAAATTTTGTGCCAATTTTGCATAAAATCGGACGAAAATATATAAGTGGAAGCTATATCTAAATCTGAACAGATTTCAACGAGACTTGCTAGAGATCAATTTATATTAACTACAATTCATTGTAGAAAATTGTGTTGCAATCGGACAAACTTTGGGTCTTGAGTGCACAATTCACATAAAATCGGAAGAAAATATATAGGAGATATATCTAAATCTGAATCGATTTTCACGATATTTAACACTCACCATTCTAGACATAATTCTGTACGCTATGCAATATTTCGTGCAAATCAAAAGATATATAGGGATTTTGGTGCACCATTCACATTAAATCGGACGAAAATATATATGGGAGCTATATCTAAATCTGAACTGATTTTCATGAAACTTAACACACATCATTCTAGACTTAATTCAGTACCCTGTGCCAAATTTCGTGCAAATCGAAAGATATATAGAGACTTTGGTGCACCATTTACAATATATCGGACGAAAAAATATATGGGAGCTATATCTAAATCTAAACCGATTTTCGTCTATGCCAAATTTCATCCAATTCGGATCATAAATGCGACCTATACTTTGTTTACAATTTAACATGGACAGACAGACGGACGGACGGACATGCATAAATCGACTTAGAAATTGATTCTATGCATATTCTCAAAATGACCCATGTGTCTATCTCGTTTCACATACGCATTTAAATGGTTCACCAAACGCCCAAGGTTTGTCTGACTGTAACAAAAATTTGTACAACGTTCTGAATTATGTACAGATTAACGAATGTGGAGATTTGTTGAGATCGGATCAGATTTAGATTTAGCTCCCATATATATATTCGTCCGATTTTATGTAAATTGACTATAATTTGTCGTCTTTCATTCTCAGTATGTGAAAATGTTCACTGCATAAATTTCTATTAAATTTTTAACACTTAACTCTTTTAAAAATTTTTATTTATTTATTATTATTATATTTTTTTCTTCTTCTTTCAAGGTAACTAGTGTAAGTAAAAAACAACCAGAAGTACCATGTTTGGGTCTAGCATGGTCGCATTTGGGTCGTACACGTTTACGCATCTCAAAAGTACCCAAACAAATCAAATACGATGACAAACTATTAACCGTGCGCAAATTAGAAATTATCTATTCACCAGAAACACCAATTGCCTATGCTGAATTTCTAATAACATCGCAGGGTTGTGTTAATGTTCCCTAGGAATGGCTGGAATTGCAAGTGAAAAATAAAATCCTTTGGAGATTTTCATGATTCCTGGTTTTTTGTTTGTTTGGTTTGGATTCATTCAATATTTTAATTTTATCTCGTTTTTTTTTTTTGGTTACTGTTAAGTTTCTAATTAATATTTTCTTAAAAAAATATTTTTTTGTTTTTGTTTTTAATTTCATAAATATCAATGGTATTTAATAAGTATTGATACAAATTGTTACATTATTATTTAATATCTTTGTATAAAAAACTTGAAAAAAGAAAAAAACTAATAGAAATATTTGTATATATAATTGATGAGAAATGAATTTGATTACGAAATGGAAGAAACATTAAAAAAATAATCATATTAAAATAATAAATTTTGCAAAGGACGAAATCCATGGAATCTTTTTAACGTTTAAAGATTATATCATGCAAATGTCTAACTCTAATTTTGGCAAACTCTTATAAAGTGGGTATATGGGCAACTTTTCAAGAGCCCATTCACCAAAAATTCTTAATAGACCAATCCATTTTAAGGGGACTAGGGGTATTTTCTCACCGGAATCGCAGTCTTTATACCCACAATGTGGATCAGGGTATTATCATTTTGTGCGTATGTTTGTAACAGGCAAAAGGAAACGAGATATACCCATATTTCCTTTTGAGAATATGCATAAAATCACTTTCTACGCATTTATGATCCGAATTGGATGAAATTTGGCACAACTCATATATTGGGACTAAGGACGAACCCTATTGAAATTGGGGAAAATCGGTCCGACCGTACAGGTCGCATTTATGATCCGAATAGGGTGAAATTTGGCACAACTCATATATTTAGACCAAGGACGAACCCTATTGAAATTGGGGAAAATCGGTTCAGATTTGGATATAGCTCCCATATGTAGTTTCGTCCGATTTTAAGTAAATGGTGCACCAAAGACCCAAAGTTAGGCCGATTGGCACACAATTTTGCACAACGTACAAAAGTTACTATAACCTACCATGTGTAAAGTATTTATGAAAACGATTCAGATTTAGATATAGCTCCCATATATTGTTTCGATCGATATTATATTAATGGTGCACCAAAGACCCAATGTTAGACCGATTGGAACAACCCCATACTGAAGTTACTATAACCTACCGCGTGTAAAGTATCGTTGAAATCGGTTCAGATTTATATTCCCATATATTTTTTCAACCGATTGTATGTTAATAGTGCACCACGAAGCCAAATTACGCCGATAGGAACAAAACGTATTGAAATTAGTATATATATAGTATATATTAGCTCAAAAATGTTAGGGGTCTGGACAGATACCAACACCGACTACCCGAAAGAATGTCCTTGTTTTTGTACGGTTCTAAGATTCACAACAGATAAAGCCACATATCGGACCATTTCGGAAAGGGCAAATTGCAGTCTGTCATTTGAGTTCAGGGGATTTTTTTTAAACATTGGGGTCCACACCCCGGTTTTATGACTGTATCTCCCAAACGGATTGAGATAAGCTCTTCATATCAACACTCAGGTATTTTTCTAAGCTTTAAAATGATACCCACTTTGTATTAATCAGCTCCCTAGAAACGGGTACCCGTATCCGAACTTCCGGGTCAAATAATTGATTTCGAATTTCATTAAAAATATATGGCATTTATTCTCACTTCCAGAACTGCGGGAATTCTTAGAGTTGATTTGCGATCTTATTGATCACTGCTATAAATACAGAACTTCTTGACATCCGTTGCTACTGAAGTAGCTACCACACACACAATAATCAAACAGCTGTTGATATCTAGGCTTGCCAACCCATGTTGATTTTCCAGCTTTCATTGATCTGTCCTGTTTAAAGCTAAAATTTAATTTGCACAGATTTTGGTTTTTTTATCTTGAATCATAATTATACTCTGTACCAAGGCAGATTTTATAAGATAGCCGCATCAGCCCAGCTACTGGTACAAATAAATAATAAATAGATGTCGATTTAGTTATATCAGTTTGTTGAAATCACAATAGAGATCGCAATATTTAGGATAGAACAGACATTGCTACTTCTATTTCTAGGATGTTTTGGATATATCGGTCCATGTTTTAGCCCCTATATAACCGTACCCACTATTATGGGATACTATGATGATGTTGGATACATGTTTTCAATAGAATTGTTTTTAATTTATTAAATAAATTGTTGGCCAGGTAACAACTGATAGCCCCGACATATTCAGAGACGGAGGGTATAAAATTTTCGGTACGTTATTGCAAAATGTGAAATTTTATTATTTTTTTTCTTTTAACCAAAAGTCCAGCAGTTTGCGAATCGGAATTTGGCAACCCTATTCATATCAAATACATTCGCTATATTCCACTTTAGTATCTTGCGCCAGTACTCCACTCCAGTTAAACAGTCCAAATAATGGGAAATAATATCGAACGTCCCAGTTCCGTAGATCGGGTATATCATACATGCCCAAAAGTTGTACAAGATTACATAGATGAATTGGAAGATAAGATACAAAGACTAACAGCCTCACATAGCGGCGATCTACAAGAACAGATCTATGTTTTGAATTCGCAAATTTCTAAAATGCAAGATACAATTCACGAATATCAAACAATCGAACGCGAATATAATAAGCTTATAGAAACATGCATGTGTAAAGATGAACGCATCGAAATCCTACAGAGTAAATATTCAAGTGCATTACACAGTTTGGAAGAGGAACGAAAAAAGGCGAGTGGTGGACATACAGCGAATTCATATACTGAGATAAAGTCCAGATACGAAAGTGCATTGCTGGCACTAAGTTCTAGAAATGAAGAAAATTCAAATATGCTTACGACATTGGCCGAATTAAGAGCCGAATGCAATCAATTGCGCGAGAACAATGCAATATTAAAGTCACAAATTGATACCTTCAACAATGCCGATGGAAAACAAACACAACAACAATCAGTCACCAGTAAACAAATGGCCTACGAAGAACATTACAAGGAACTTGATGACAAGTATATTGAAATGCAGCAACAGCTATTCGAAATGCAATTGCAAAATCATGATTTAAAGGCACAACTCGAAGAGGTCAACAAGCAACAAAAAGGACAAGCAGCCACAAATAGATCCATGGATGCAGCAACCATTATTGCAAATGATCCAGCACCAACATTGATTATTGATGCAACTACCACTGATGTTGCAGATCAGCCACCTATCACAAACACCATCTCCACCAACCCATTCCATGCAATAAATGCATCCTCCGGCCGCCCCAAAAAAGAAGGTGAAAACAATATCTTAATCAAAGGATTTGAAAAATATCTCGATGAAGAGCAAATTCGTCACATTCTCCTCGCCATGATCGAACTAATGGATTTACAAATGAAAAATTCCGACATAAAAACAATTAGCCGAAAATCGGCCAAAAATGTCGTTGTTGAATTAAGTGAAATGAAATTTAAAAATGATCTGCTTAAAAATAAGGATAAATTGAAGAAATTCGATACATATAGAAATTTCGAAATATGTGATTACATAAGCGATCAAGTCTATCAGATATTTGAATATGCGAAAACTTTAAAATGTCATGGCTATGATGTGGTCTATTGGAAAAACAATAGTGTCTATGCTAGAAAGAATCGTTCTGCCAATAGTAAACCTATCTTAATAAAATCGGGCAATCATGTTGATCTGTTGAGGCGTGCTGAAAATTAGTTTTGTCATCGACACAAACAGAAGTCACAACGATTGTATTTGTTATTTCAAACTTAGCTTATCTTATATTGTTTTTTACTATCTTATAATATACAAATACATATACATATATAAATAAGTAATCTAGATATATATATATATATATATATATATATTCCTATAAATATTATTGATAAATAAAAGTTTATTGTTTTATATATTTCTAAGTAATATCTTGTGGTATAATAATAGACATCATCAACAATAAATAACAACACAGAATGACGTATTTAACTGAATTGAATTTTATATATTTCTTGCTACCATACATTGTATATTGACTAATATATGACATTTAGTTTATTGTCTATAAATTTGATATATATATATATATATATGTATATATACAGTATTTTTCGGTAAAAATTTGCACAATTTTTTATTCAATTAACCGAGGAACCAATTATCCGATACCCGCTTAATTGAACTGTTGGTTCAATTACACAAATCATGCATAATTGGGCGAAATTTATTTCTAATGCTTTTGTCAAATACAAATTAAAAACTTATGCTTTCTCGTGGGCTTTCCTTAGCAATAATAGAGTTTTTCATAAATGATGTCAAATATGTATGCAAAACCAGTTAGGAAAGTAATAAAGTCGGGCCGACTATATGATACCCTTCACCACTTTGATGTATTCTACATATGTATCCTAACAGACGTCGCTCTTTGAAAGAACATTGACATGAAATTGAACGAACTTAAATATGTGATCTTTATCTATATTTATGTGAACCGACTAACATCAATCCATACATTTACCTAAAAAAATATATATATGGGAGCTATATATAGCTATTCAACGAAACTTGTCAGAGATTAAGTTATGTTAACTCCAGTATATGGTACAAAATTGTGTTCAAATTGGACAAACTTTGGGTCTTCGCCCACAACTTACATAAAAACGGAAGAATATATATGTGCAATATTGCCAATTTTTTAACATAGCTGAAGCGGAGGTTCACCCCTTTATAACTCGGGAATTACTTAAGTATATGAAAAAAGTGAATAGTTTTGGGTTAATTGATCTGTCGTTGCAAACTGTTCATCATATTGACCTCCAAACTTTATTTTGGTGGAAGCTTAGTCTACTTTAATGTAAAAAAATGTGTAAAAACAGGTTGAGGCGAACAAGTTTTTTATGTCCTCTATCGATTTGTGATTAAGCCACTCATTTCACGGTCTTCGTGTCAAAGTAAAACTAGAAGCCAACAAAATGGGGACTACGCTCCTTATGTATCATTTTTCAAAAT